TAATTATTGAGCAATACTTTTTGATTGTTTTCAAACCACAACCCACATCCTTTCTAATACTTTCTCAAATGGAAACCAGTTGGCTCTGTCTTGCAATAATTGCCATCAATATTTTAATAAGTTATTTAATTTAAGACTGTCCCTCATTATATCCGCTAAGTCAACGATGAATCATTCACTGCAAGAGTTGGACTGCCACATTTCCCCTAAATCCAAACATTATCCAGATTGAAGAAACTGCAGATGATGCTCGGGTAATGCATCATCACTGGCACAGATCCAAAGCTTTTATTGTGAAAACAAATAATTGTAATTAGGGAAAAACTGTAAAAGGATGCATACTGTAGTTAAAAAAAAAGTCATTTATCTCTCCTTCCACTATTTCCTTAATGACTAAACTTTAAGCACCATTTCATCTGTAAGTAAAGAAGAGTGGTTAGAGTGTATTAATGGACAAATATTCTGCACTGTATACATATCAAAGGATGTAACTTAATGTTTGCTCCAACTGAGAAGGTAGTTCTTTTGCTTTGTACTCTAGATGATAGGGATACTCACTATATGTCCATTTTCTGCTTGTGCATGGAGTGTGGAAGGTGAACTAAATATTAATCCATAGGCATATATTGCCTGGCCCTAATTATGGATGGTGAAGAAAGCTGGGAAAGCACTAGATTTGGGAATGTGGGGATGTCACACTGAAGCCTCAACCTTTTACTAGGAGAGACAGATGCTGCATACCAGTGAAGAAGCAGTTCTGTAGCTACAATTCCCATGTATTTCAAAATATATGATATGTAAGTCCTTCTCTGTTTATGTGTTCTGATAAAAGTAAAGATAATTTTTCCCCTGAGTCAAGCTAGACTCCTGGTGACTTCTTGGGGACAATATGGAAGTAGTTTGCCACTGCCTTGCCATTGTCTTGTTCTGCTATGTTTTTCCAAACTCCCAGTCTGGTCTATTGCTCTGACGTTTCTCATTCAAGTATTAATCAGGCTGACGCTGCTTGGGTTATCTGAGATCAGCTAAGATCAGCTGGTGCTGCTATCTAGCAGGGCCATATGTTCTAACTGGACAGATTAAATAAGGCTTGACTTGTTTGGGGAAGGAAAGTAGTTTGCTAAGAAAAAGAAAAGAGAAATCTGTAAGTTGGCCATGGGTGTCCTCAGGTCCTTGGCCAGGCCTCATGACTTGGGAGTTCAGATACATATCAGTGAGGTTTCCAAGAAGGTTTGCTGTTCTTCTGATCTCAGCTCTTAGAGAAGGCAGGAGGATTCCCAGATTTCTGAATAAATGTTAAAAATTTTAGTATTTTGTTCTAATATTGAAAAATAAGAAAATGGTGTGTAGCAATATTTAGCACATTTACAGAGCATCTAAGTATCTAATTCATACCAGAAAGTTATTTTAATAATTTTTACAGTCACTTTTAATGCAGACCAGTATTACTATCGCTACATTAATAAGATAACTGCTTTGCTTTTGTCATGTGTCAGAGATGTCATGTGGGTTTTCACTTGATGTGTGATCTTCAGAGAATGATGATCTCATGTGCTTCCTCAGCAGAGCTCATCTAGCTAATATGTACTCCTTAGCCTTGTATAATGGCCAGGTATCCAGGAAGTTATCCTTTGTTGCAGGAGATATAGTAGGTAACAGGCAATGTAGTAATAATTTGCTGCCCACACTTACATGGCTGAAATATGCAATCCTACATAATAATATTGAAAGGGTTAATCTAATTGGAATAAACAATAATTAGAGCACTATTTATTTATTTATTTATTTAATCCAATTTAGGTACTGCCCAACTCCAAACCAACTCTGAATGACTCACAATAAACAATAAAAAGACAAGACAAGACAAGACAAGACAAGACAAGACAAGACAAGACAAGACAAGACAAGACAAGACAAGACAAGACAAGACAGGATACAGTTGGTCTGGGCAAAAACATAGACCAAAATCCATCCAACAAGAGGCTCCATCCATCTTAACCCAACACCTAGGAGAACAACCAGGTCTTCAAGGACTTACACAGGGATCTTGTTCAAAGGGCAAGCACTATGACAGAGAAGGGATACTTCCTGGGTCCCAATGGATGGCACTGTTTCATCAAAGGAACCCAGAGGCCACCAACTCTGCTAGCAGGCAGAAACCATGAGAGATGATAGGTGGTCCCTCAAATAACCTGGCTCTGTGCCATGTAGATA